TGAAAGAATGTATTTCAGAGGGTTAGGTTTGAAACTACATATCTATCATAGACGCTACACACCTAGCACAGGACTGAAACTTGCACCTCCCCTCGACATCCTAAGGATACCAGAGGAAGGAAAAAGTAAAAAGTAAGTAAGGTTTGATACAAAGTAACATTTCAAAAATTAATAAAACTATTAACACATTATACTTGAAAAGACTGTCCATCACTGGCACAGTGTATCTCAATCATGATTATCCGTTGAGCTTCGGAATTGCAAAAACTTCCTCGTCAAGCTCTCAGCCAATAAGGACTTCAGACTGCCCAAAGTGAAGTAACCATTCATAGTACTCCAAGTCACAAGACGTGAGATTACGTTGAAAACAATAAAAATATGAACTCTCAATGACCAACACATAGAAATCTGGAACAGCTGCTAAGGATATGGGCCCTTCTCTCTCTCCTCTCTGTCCTAACCCCCCCTCCCCCTTCCTGTATCTCCGTCTTTGCCTGTCTGTCTGTCCGTCCGTCCGTCCGTCCGTCCGTCCGTCCATCTGTCTGTCTGTCTGTCTGTCTGTCCTTCTACTACAAATCATTTTCAGTTTATACCCAAAAAAAACCACAATACAGAAATATGCATTTTTTCTAAAAAATATAAGATCTCTCTCTCTCTCTCTCTCTCTCTCTCTCTCTCTCTCTCTCTCTCTCTCTCTCTCCCTCTCTCTTTCTCTCTCTCTCAATCTCTCTTAATCATGTAGGCTTATGCAAAATACGAAACAATTACATGTATTTGAGTATGGAAATACAAAATCGACACCTTTTTCCACCGCAAGTCACAGGCACAACCAAGTGTGCATACAGAAATATCACATTGTTTGCAAGTGATGACGAACAGTTCAGGACAATGAAGAAGGGTAAAGGAATCTGAAAAACATGTTAAAAAAAAACAACCAAAACCCCCAGTAAAATAAGTGCTGATTTTAGAAAGATTAATTTAAAAAAAAAAAAAAAGAACTCCCTTTCCAATTTTATTTCCTGATTTCTTCAGAAGTAAGTGCAACTTCTGTATAACTTAGAAGAGCTGTTGACGTGGTTGTATGTACAAAATGGACACTGGGATAAATCAGAGCCGTCATGAAGAAAATGAAAATAAAAATAAGCTGAGCACTTGCTTAAACTTAAACCGACAGCTAGATAGAACGATCAATCAACAACTGTCACGTCCGATTCCGTCTCCATCCCAAAGAGGTATCGGAAGAAATGCAGCATCATCACGGAATGGCCCGGGAGATACACATACGACGTGTACAACACCAGCGCCAGGAAGAACACCAGCATAGCATCTGTGCAAGTCGTTAAGGGAAAACTCACGGCAATTATCACACTCTCAATAGTCTAGCACTAAGGCACAAGGCAAAATCTTCAGAACAAGGAAATGTTTGCGTTAGTTTAGTTTTAGTAGAGGTTTCACGGTGCTCGCAACTGTATAAGATCATGTCAGCGCAAGAAGATTAGAGGTGTCACAAGAGAGTAACAAAAAAAAGAAAAAAGAAAGAGGTTAGATAAAGACGACGAGATGTCTGATAGGAAAGAAGAAGCAAACCACACCAGAGCCCCCGCCAACCACCCACTGGATCCAGTTTACCTGATGTCGCGAGGACACAATGTAATAATTAAACATTGAAGAGAAATTCTTGTCCGCCAACATTCAAGGGAAACAACAATTAAAATTTCAGGCAGATACCAAGAATGACACGAAGAAGAGTTACGAACCTTGAAACAGAACAGAATGAGCTGAGGAGAGCCACAAGTGAGACAAATATATTATTGCAACCTCTCATCGACAGTTTCTGTCCAGGTGCGACAGTCAAGAGAATCTTGTGAGTACACTCTGACATCACTGTACAAAGTTTACATCACTATTGACCTGCGAGAGCTGACGAAAGATGTTTAAAGCAACACGCTTATTTACTATCAAGTAGGAATTACACTCTCGCATTGGAAAGGCACAGACTGCATTTATTTCTTTGAACAGGATTTGGAGGACCAGGGATATCTCATTACGAACAAAGCTTAGAATTTTCAACTCAAATGTGAAGTTAGTCTTGTTGTATGGATGTGAGACGTGGAACGCATCCCAGACGTGCATAAAGAGGATCCAAGTTTTCTTAAACAAGTGTCTGAGGAAGCTACTGAGGATCAAATGAACAAGACATGATCACCAACGAGGAAGAATTAAGAAGAACGAGACAAAGCCCAGTCAGAGATGAGTTGGGAAGAAGACGTTGGCGATGGATTCCACACACTTTCGGGAAGGCAAGCAGCTGCATAACAAGAAAAGTGTTAGATTGGAACCCACAGGGTAAAAGATCAAGGCGAAGACCTCATGGAACCTGGAGAAAAGTCATGGAAATGGATGTACAGAAAAGTGGGAAGACGTGGAGTGACATCAAGCGACTAGCCCAGGATAGGGAAAGGTGGAGAGTGTTTGTTCGTGGCCTATATCCTGATCCAGGGTGAGAAAGGCAACGATGATGAGGAGGAATTACACCAAAGCGGCATGCGTGTTTATCAACATTATACAACCTAGCATGCGCATAGCGAAATTGGCAGGACGTGGAAATCTTTTTGTGAGGCACAAATTGCACTAGAAGGCACAAATTGCACTATCTCAACTATCTGCACGTTTTAGATCAATGAATCCATCTCATAATCATAATCTATCATCAGAATAGCTTTCCACTCCACAAAAGATAATGTTATGCCCATAAGTTTGTGAAATGAAACATCTTCAAGTCTAGACAAGCCCATTACCATCTTATGTAGATTGAAAGCTAGACTTTGTGAGATTTTCACTAGGATTTGAAGACTGACATGAGCATTCACAAAAATTTCAAGAAGTGGCTGTCCATCAAATATATATATATATATATATATATATACTAGCAAAACAAAGAACAACTAACCAGTCAAGTCAAAATCAACATTGTTATGTTTTAACCCTGCTACTGAAAGCAATAAGTCAGCTCTTTTTTGTTCTAAAACCACTGCCCAGGTAGATCTGGAAATTCTTTTTTTTTTAAACAAGTCCGCTTACATTTTACATCTGTAGGCTTTTTTCCTTCTCTTCTTTCATCAATAAAACAGCATCCAGAGCTGTGTTCACACAGTAGGCACCTAAAAAAAAAAACGTTAGTAAATTATATTATGGGTTTTTTTCATGCTGAAAAATATTTTCAAGAACCCGTAACACTCTTAGAGCATAACACCGCCCATACATGCCAAAATGCATGCGTGATCAAAGTGTGCTTTTGCACATGCTGAACAATCATTTCAAAGGATACTGCATGCCCATCGTTCCACTGGCTCCAAGAAGTAGACATTGGACAAAATGGTGTAGGAGAAGTACCAATAGCTGAAGCGGTCATAAGCCTTTTGTAGAACCATGATGGTAGTGACTGAAAAGAGAAACAAAAATGGGTGTTTAAAAAAATCTAATGGATACAGGAACCAATCAGCTAACAATAAATTATGTTGCACCAAAGTGATCGTTTCATGTCAGTCTGAAAAAAATCTCTTGATCAATTAATTGTGAAACAGAACCGAGAACCAACCCCTTTTCCAATCCTACAGTTCCATTCACCCTTGCATCTTTCTCTTTCTTCCCGTACCACACAGACCAAGAGCCTGTCACTCAAAGAAGTCATTGAATGTCATCACATAACATAAACAGTACTACAGTAATAAGCTAGTGCTATCTTGAAAGACACAAAGTGGAACTCATTTGACCTTTTATGCAGTTGCGAGCACTGAAAAAACCTAACCAAAATTTTTTAAGTCACAAACAAGTTTGGACCTTGCCTTTTGGACAAACTTCACATCACCATAAGACCATACACCTGTTAACATTGTTTGTGAGATTAACTACAGTTTGAACACATGTACTGTATCTCCCACCCCCACCCCTCATTGCTACTTTTACCTGACGCCAGTGTACGCCGGTTCGATAACTACATTTGCACCTTATTCCTTCCTCAATCCCTCCACAATGGGTTGGAGTTTTTTTGGTAAATGTTTTACGGCGCTTGCAACTGCATAAGGTCATATGAGCGTGAGGGACAATTAATTATAATCTTTTTCAGATGGTAGGAAATTTTGAATTTTGCCCGGGTGGCGGCTGAAGCCTACTCTTATCGATTTCAGACCACCAAGAGAACTTAAATGTGCGCAACTTGCACACACAACCTCCCAGATTTTTCGCCCTTGTCTGAGAAGGCTAGGTGTAGATCTTTCCTACCAGAAGATCAGAGGTGTGGCTGAAAGACGACAGTAAGAAGGAGCCAAGGAGTAGCAGTAGAAAGGCTGCAGAAAGAGTCAGGAGCTCAGAGGAGGGGGCAAAGGAGGTGAGGGGTGGGGACAGAAAGAGGAGACGAAAGCAGATGACAGAACATTGATAGAGAGCAGGAAAGGAGATGAAAGAAGACAATTTTAGAGAAGAAAATTTTTTGGTCGCTACCTGGATTCGAACCCGGGAACTTTGAATGAGAGGCCAACACCTTAACCTCTAGGCCACGAGAGCCCCCATGACATTGGTTTGAAGCTTTAAATAGAATTATATTAAATTGAAAATACTAGCACATAATGTATAAAAATATAGAGGGGCCTGCCCCCCTGAATTTTATCATAATGTGATGTTTTGCAGATAGGTTTGATATCTCTCGCTCTCCGAGCATCAAACAAAGCCTATAATAGATCTAGATCAAGGCTCACATAAGTGGGGTGGAAACTGCCGAAAATACGCCCAATCTCGAGATTCACTAACTGATTTTGCCAAAATGGCCGCCCCCTGAGCTGGGATATCAAAACTCGACTAGTGCCCAATTTTGAAGAGAGAGGCCTATATATATAAATAAGCGAAGTCATTTCATCTCACATAACTGGGGTGTGACGAGATGACCGGGTGACGAAATGACTGGCTACCGCCCCCTACATGTTTTCAAACAAGCTGAGGATTCC